AAAATAAAATTATAGCTCCTTACGCAAGTTCTCCGGCGAAAGATAATTACTCCGCTCAAAATCTGTTTCATGTATTACTCATTAGCTGATCCAAAGCTCAAGGCTATCTCTCTCTCTCTCTCTTTCTCTCTCTCCCATGCTCCTCCTTTTCCTGTTTACACCGTTTTCTTGTCTTCTTTGCTCTTTTCTTTCCTCTCATGCTATTAGTCTTCTTTCATTTCCATCACTTCTTCTCTGCTCCCCCTCTCGAGTTCTATTTCTCTCGTGAAATTGAAACGTAAAGTAATACAATCATGTAGTACATTCTTGTTTAGAATAATATTTTCAATAATATCCAGTCCATTTTCTAAAGGTTTCTTTCCTTTAGTTAAGTGTATGTAGCTTTAATATATATATGTTAGTGTGCAAAACACTCCGTTTCATTCGAGTACTTTGTTTTCACTAAATAATTTAAGGGACTCACGAAGCCACCGGAAGTAGAGCAATTGGCTTATCATGAAGAACTAACAAACTGCAACAAAATGATTTGTATAAATGTGAATAAGCAGAAAGGCTGCCATCTCATTTTCCCGTCTGAATGGGTTCTCTTCCTTACGTATATAAGTGCCCTTATTTTCTAAACTTTTTTTTATATTTGTGTGTTTATTAAATTTTCAATCATATAAAAATTACATATTTACAAATCATTGGTAATAATTAGACAAACAAAAAAACCAATATGTATAAGAACAACTAACAATAATGAAAGGACAAGAAAGTTATAAAAAAAAAACATTATAGTAAAAAAAAAATACACGGTACACATATAAATCATAGTTTGAACTCCAGTGCATAAAGGGGAGTGAGGGGGCACAGGAATAAAAGTTAAATCAACATGAGTATCATAAGTCAAATCGCCATTTCTTAAAATGCGAAACAAGCTTGTTCCTTTTTTTCGCTGAGAAATATTCAATATCTTTTTGTTTCTTTATAAAACTCTTAAAAAGATCAACACTTGGTAAATCCCCCTTACTTATTTTTTAAACTTCCATGATGACCTATTACATTGTATAATGCTTTACCTAGTAAGATGCATTGATCGAGGTAATTTCAGGTATTACATATTGATGAGCTACTTGAAATTAACTAGGAGGTATGCGCGTATTGGGGAATGTGGCTTGCTGCTCTACTTTTTTTTTAAAACTTCCCACGACATGTAATGAGTGTTTAGTATACATTATATGGGACGTACAGTGATAGATGGAAAGTTATTTCAGTATATTCGAAATGACTTTTAGGTAACTCCTTTTTCCTCCCACTTCATCAACATTCATTCATTTCATTTCATCTATATTATTTCAAGATATGCATTCAGAAAATGAAGAAGAAAAAAAGAAACGAAAAAAATAGATGTAAAGAAAATATTGTCGGCGAAGCATTTGTCGTAGTACTAGTAGCATTTGTAGTTTATGGGACACTTTTTGGGCGGAGCAAATGTCGTCGGAGCAAATGTCGGCGGAGCAATTGTCGCTTCAGGCGGAGCAATTGTCGGCGGAGCAATTGTCGGCGGAGCAAATGTCGGCGGAGCAAATGTCGGCGGAGCAAATGTCGGCGGAGCAATTGTCGCTTCAGGCGGAGCAATTGTCGGCGGAGCAATTGTCGGCGGAGCAAATGTCGGCGGAGCAAGTGTCGCTTCAGGCTGAGCAAATGTCGGCGGAGCAATTGTCGCTTCAGGCGGAGCAATTGTCGGCGGAGCAATTGTCGGCGGAGCAAATGTCGGCGGAGCAATTGTCGCTTCAGGCGGAGCAATTGTCGGCGGAGCAAATGTCGGCGGAGCAATTGTCGCGTTTTGCGGAGCAATTGACGGCGGAGCAATTGTCGGCGGAGCAATTGTCGGAGGAGCAATTGTCGGCGGAGCATCTGTCGGCGGAGCAATTGTCGGCGGAGCAACTGTCGGCGGAGCAACTGTCGGCGGAGCACCTGTCGGCGGAGCATTTGACGTCGGAGCAAATGTCGCGGAGCAAATGTCGCGGAGCAATTGTCGCGTTTTGCGGAGTAAATGTCGGCGGAGCAATCGTCGGCGGAGCATGTGTCGGGTTACCCCGTTATGTCAACTAATGTATGACTAGAAACTGGTAAGCTAACAGATGGCCATCGTACAAGTTTTAGGTCAACTACATATCGGGTGATTTATAAAAATACAACAACCACCTGCATAGCAGATGGGATATACGAGAGATTCACCGGAAAATAACGACGTTTTAATGACGTCAGTATATGGACCAATACTGCCCAAGCAGACGACATCCCATAAAGAATGAACATAATTGCAAAGCTTTTATTTGTCAAATTATAATGAGTTTAGTGTATATAAATGTGATGGCATGTCAAACCATTGAAAAGGGGATATGGCCCAATTCCGATAACTAAAATATTTTGCTTGTAAATACACAGGATAGGGGTTAATTAACAATCAAAGAACCCCCCCCCCCCCCTTGGCATTTTTTATGTGTGTATTTTTAAGAAAACCCCCTAAAACCCCCCCTTTGTTTTGTTTAAACCCCCCCCCCCCCCCCCTGAAAAAATCCTGCGTACGCCCCTGGTGCAGCTGAATATTCAATGGCGTCTTATTTTGTTTACAAGCGAAAGATTCCTTTATTTTTGTATCGCTGCATTTGTCATCAAATAAAACCATGTGCGGGGTTTAGAGTGAGGCAATGGATTATACACTTAGCCTGACGGTAGTGCAGTAAGAGAAAGAACTCAAGAGAAGATGAAAACACAGGCACTGAAAATGTGTGAGATGTCATGGGATATCGTCTGCTTGTGCATATATCGTGTCCATACTGTGATCTCACACACCTCAGTAGCGTTCGGAGAGCTCTTCAGGTGCTTTGCCGGGGCTGTATTTAAGCGTTTTATAATTTATAATAATCACTACTTCGAATTTTTCCAAGCATTGACTTTTGATAACCTTGTCGAATCAAAGTTTCAACTTTGCAATAATGAAATTAAGTTAGTATTTAAAATCAATGAATATCTACTTCATGGTCTTTCTCTCTTCCTTCGTATCTCCAATATCCTAGATCCTACATACTTCGAATAAATTCCTTTAGATTAAAGATGTTCTTTCATGTGCGACGTATAATAATTATAATTAACTTAATTATAATGATCATGATATTTCTGGTTTACCGAGAGTATAGGCTTATCAGTATTAATACCGTTTAATTCTCTCTGAGGGCCGTTAAATCACAGCATTACCCCCCCCCCCCCCCTGGCGACCTTAGCCGAGCTACCATAAAAATTCACTCAAGCATTCAAGCAATTTCTTCCTGCTGGGTACCCATTTACCTGATTGTAGTCAGGCAAATCTAGATAAATATCTTACAAAAAAAGACGTTATTATTTCAACTTTAGAATAAATTCTGATTGCGCATAATTATTTATTCTCGTGTACCCGTTTTTGTATCCAGTGCTCTTGCATGATTTGTGAATGACAACAATATTCAATTATTTGTATGATTTGTAATATTATCAGTCTAGGGCTGCGAAGTGTAGTCGAATGCTCGAGTACCCGCACGGTTGACAACTACTCGGGTACAATTTCTGGTACCCGAATATCCAGCCGCAAAAAAAAATTAAAAAATAAATAAATAAAAATAAAAAATCTGTCCAGACCGACGCTTACCCGTGTCTGGGTGAGCGGCGGCCGCTGGCATGGTGCCGTCGGTAAAAATGTTTCCCAACTCAAGCAATGTCAAACTCACCACTCAGAAACTGGGACCAAATGTCTGGATTTCTATTTGGACTTGGAGGAAAATGGATTATTCTGCCATCTTTGGTTTTTAAAACAGCATTGTTTACTGTTATTATTATTATTATTAAATCGGCGCCTTCAACTGCAACTCGAAGTAAAATTGCATGCGTTTTCGGAGACAGAACTGGGATACTGCTCCAATGGTATGTATGGTGGTAAGCTTGTAAGCCTGGGAGTGTACTCGGGTACCTCATTACACTGTTGTAATTTCATTCACTGTCAATAGAATTGCTTTAGCCGTACTCAAACGTATCTTCAAGATTTGATTTTAAATGAATCTTTCTCGTGTGCAACAAATATGTTCGTCACAAAAATAACAAAATGCCAAAACTCATTCGTTCAATTCCTTTATGTCATGTTTTTAGCTCATGCGGCCCGAAGGGCCCGATGAGCTTATGCCATTGCCGTTGCGTCCGTCGTCCGTCCTTCCGTCCGTCCACAGTTTTCAAAATGCTTCTTCTTCCTTATTTTTCAACCGATTTTGATTCTGATAGTTTCATATGATAGGGCTAGGAGGGTGATTTAAAACTTCTACATAGAATTGTGAAATTCATTATCTATGCTAAATTATGCAAATTTATTCGAAAAAATAATTTAAAAATCACAAAAAATGCTTCCTCTCCTTCATTTTACGACCGATTTTGATTTGGTTTGCTTTATATCGCAGAGCTAATTTTGGTACACTAAACATCTACACAGAATTTTGAAATTGTTCTCCATTAATTAATTATGGTAATTTATGCAAACTTATTCCAAAAATAACAACAATTGCTTCTTCTCCCTCATTTCTTGACCGATTTTGATTTGGTTTGTCTTATCTGGTAGAGCTAAATTTGGAACACTAAACTTCTACACAGAATTTTGAGATTTTGCTTCATTGATTATTTATGGTAATTTATGTAAATTTGTTCCAAAAATAATTAAAAAAAAACAAAAAATGCTTCTTCTCCTTCATATTTTTACCGATTTTGATTTGATTTGCTTTATATCAAAGAGCTAACTTTGTTATACTATACCTCTACGCAGAATTTTGAAATTTTGTCATTTCTTGACCGATTTGGATTTGGTTTGCTTTATCTGGTAGAGCTAAATTTGGTTTACTAAAATTCTACACTCCTGGGCATCAAATTTTTATTTTTTTACCAGTTCAAAAGTGTACCACATAAAATTTACGATATTTGTTGTTGCGAGATGCGGATGAGCGCGACGTCATTGACGTTCTGTTTTTTTTAAGGAGCAAGTGACGTAGATCTGTGACACAAAATTTAACAAAGTTCTTTAGTTCGTGTTTTCGTTTTATGTTTAATTTCATTCGTCCGTTCTCTTTATTCTTCTTTATCTCTTTCGCAATTTTCCATACTATCTTTGTGTTTCTGCATAACTCTCTCTTTCTCTCCTCTCTCTCTACACCTCTTTCTCTCTCGCCCTTCTTCCATCCTACTACATCACAGGATTCGGTTACAGTTTTATGATCATCTCAAACGTCGTCATCATCAAGACCTACTTTCCAGACTCTTTCCCAATCGCCATAAGCTTCAGTTTATCCGCCGGTGCCGTCGGGATGATGCTGATCCCTGTCATTACGGAGAAACTTGCAAACATCTACGGATGGCGAGGCTCTCTTCTGCTCATTGCAGCCATGAACTTCCATAACGTCCTGGCAGGAGCCCTCTTTAGACCACTTACATCAACTCGGCACAAACATTCCTACTCTACACAACACGATGATACTGCTGATAGTGCCAGAGAAAGAAGGACAGTAGAGAATTCAAACAGCTTCAGGAGTGATGAGAAGACTACATACAGAGGCCAATATTCTCCTGTAAATGCACCCGAACAGGGATGTTCAGAAAACAAAGAAACACAGTCGGGAGCGAACTCCTGTCTCGATTCCAAGAAAAGGATGACCGTCATACAGAATTGCGAACAGAGCTTGGGTGTAAGTGAGCGTAACGATGAAATATCTGAAAAGGATCGACTGATTCCTAAGGGGCAGTCGAGGAGGAAACCTGACGATTTTAAGAGCGGGTCAGTCGAAGAGGAGTCCAAAGCGACAACGGTAGACGGTGGTTGCATGAGGAGTTTGATCGAACTATTTGATTTGAGACTGCTATATGATTTTCCTGCCTTAAACCCGATAATGATTGCTGTACTGTTGTCTGGGGCGACCACCACAGGCTGGGTGGCTTTTTTGTTGCCCAACGCTCTGGAGAAGGGATACAATATGGATAAAGCCATACTGCTTGCTTCAGTAGGAGGTAAAGCTTTCACTTTTCTATTCTTTTTTTATAGACACAACTTGGGATGGATCTAATGCATGCATGTTGGACTTTTCTGCCCTTATTCCCAAATATTAGTATATTTAAGTTTTTGTTTATTGTCTAAATTCCTTGAGAGGGACTGCACCCCCCCCCCCCCTATCCCATGCTCGGATAGCACACTTACATCTCTAGTTTTGTTTCTATATCCATAACGATGTACCTCTGAAATTTAAATTTCGATATAGGTCTTTGGAACTTCATTGGTCGATTTTGCATCGGCTACATGCTCGGTAAGCGGACCACTGCGAGGACCATGTTCGTCATCTGCAATCTCATCTGCGGTGTAGCCTTCTGCCTGGACTACGTCACGACCACGTTCTGGGGTCTGTCCATCCTGTCGGCGTTAAACGGATCAACCATCGGGGCTATGACGGTTCTTATCTCCCTGATGATTGAGGAGATCGTTGACGAGTCGAGATTCACCTCAGGGGTTGCTCTGGCATTTTTATTTCTAGGACTTGGTGAAATCGTCGGAGGTTTATTCGCAGGTGGGTCCTGCTGGTGAAGAATCAGCCTTGTGCTAAAACTACACAATATAACAGCACACTGCCTAACAATTTACAAACTGAAATGTGGCCATTTTAGAAATATAACCATGATCAGTTCCAATGCTTTCAAGTGCCCCAATTCTAGATAAATCATTTAATAATTTCGTTTTTATCATATTCGGGTATTCTAAATTAACTGTTTCCCTGTAGTCAAATGGTGAATGCATTTACTTTACAATGCTGGAAAAAATAATAGGTCTGTTTTGAAATATTCAAGTAACATAACTATCTTTTCTAATGTGAATACTTTTTAGTTATCAGGCACGAGCCCAATCGCCGTGCTTATCAAACAGTGTCTGTACTGTGAGACTATGATGACAGCATACTGAATAGGCTCTATACTTGAGCTGCTCCAGGCATAGTCTGATAGAGCTAGACTCTACTCAAAGCCTTAGGAATTGTGATAAAGTTCAAAATACATGTAGAGTCTGTGCAGACTAGATACAATGTACATGTACTTTGTGGACAGATGCATGAGTAAACTGTGCAGGGTGAGAGAGTTCCTGTTTCACGTTGATGGCGTAAATCTGACGGTGCAAATCCACCAAATTGGTGCCGGTGTTTAATGAAACAAAGTGTTAATGAAAGTGACTTGTGGAAAACTTAAGCCCCCGTATGTCTCGAAATATATTTTCTTTATTTTACCAAACTCTCCCTTTGTTCATTTTTACTCGTAGGATGGCTGTATGACATAAGCCATACTTACGTCATCGCCTTTATCGCCTTGGGAGTGTTAAATGTCCTGGGAGCTCTTCTGACGGCAATTGTGACCTTCCTTCCGTGCTCTCTATTCCGAAATTGACATCTGGATGATAAAGAATAAAGTGTCTGTTGCACACGAGGCGCTTTCCACTGACGCAGGTTTGCGCCAGCGGTTGGCGTTGTCTGTGACGCATCGCGTGGGGGTTTGCATCATTCAAAATAGTGGATGCAAATGAACAGTGCCATTATCGGTTTGAATTACGAGTCCACACTGTGGATTACATACTGTGAGACTTTATGTGAAAACGCTCTTACATACTTTGTTACTTGGGGGAGACTCCATGTGTAAACACCGTCCCATACTGTGTAACACAGCGTGGAACTTTTTATGAAGAAAGCATATATGCCATACTGTGTAACAATCACAATATGAAACATTATATACCTCACTTAAGAAATCCAGCCATCTGATTGATCGAAATTGCCGTCATGGTTTTAGCCATTCCCGTAAATTAACGAAAAATGCAACGCCCATGTAATAGTTCGAGGGTAAAATTCAAGTTACTGCGAATAGTTCAGTCTTGCTTAAAAACTAGTTTGAGCGATCGCGGATACCATACATTGTGTGTGTGCGAAGAATTGGTCGCTAGACAGCAAGAACACCAGGAGGATAGGCCCTGCGTTTTATTATTAGCCGTAGATCTAGGTCTAGATAAAGATTGTGATTTTATTGCATGCGATAACGGTGATACAGGTATTGAAGATTGTATAATGAAAGTGTTTGAATTCATTTGGTGGATGAAAAGTTGAATTCTACGCCGTTTTGCGCGTCATATTGCAGCGCTGAATTTGGTGTGTTTGTCGCTAATTTCTGACAAATTTAGATAGCTTTCCTGATGGTATTTCATGCAAAATTTCTGTTATATTGATAATCACTGATTCTTGGCCTTACCTTTAACTTGTTTCTTGTCTGTTATAGTCATTTAATAGATGAATTACTTGAATTCTGAGCACATTTTAGTAACACAAAAAATCCAGCCCGTGCATAGTCCCACAAACGTATTTGTATGTACCTTGTGCCCTTACACTGTATGCTGTCTCGATAGCGTAAACAAACTTGATTACCATGATTGGTAAGTCCCACATGTATTCTATGACCCTTTTTGGAATATAAATGTATTAATGACTGCTTTAATAAAAGCAGTCAGTAATACTATACTATTTCATACTCTATGTATCAGTGTGGGACTCTATATGGAGAACAAACTATTCCATATTGTGTGACAATCACAGTCACAGTATGGAACTTTATGTGAAAACACTATTTCTATGTGAACACACTATCCCACACAGAGTAATATATTCTGAGAGTCTTTGTTAAAAAGATATACCACACTATGTAACACAGTGTGGGACTATTGGAAAACACTCTACCATGCTGTGTAACTTGGGTGAGACTCCATGTGTGAACACCGTCCCATACTGTGTCACACAGTGTGGAACTATGTATGAAGAAAAATATATGCCATGCTGTGTTTACTCTATGTGAACACGCTATCCCATTCTGTGTAATTATTGTAGGAGTCAATGTGAGAACACTATAGCACTCTATGTAACCCAGTATTACAGTATACAGTATTCTGTACTATGTAATACAGAATGGGACGACTGTGATATTCCCCACTATGGAACAGTATGTGAGACTCTATTTAAAAAACGATATTCCACACTTTGGAACTTTGTATCAAAATATATTTCACACTATATAATCATGCATGTAAAAAAGGTAAAACACAGAATGAAATGGTGTTTTCAGACATTCTCAAACTTTTTTTGTTTTTACACAATATGGAATAGTATCTTCACATAGTCTCACACTGTGTTACAGAGTGAGGAATTGAATTTTCACAAAGAGACTCATTACGTGAGTATGTTTAAGTCAAGCCTATCTATAATCATTTTTATCAGCTTTATCAGTGGACAATGGGTTTAACATGGACGGTTTGAGTGCAACTAAATGAAATTTAGTTTAAAGGTACTATGTCCCATTTGTAGGCCAAACAAATGAAAAAGTTAAATTCCAACTGGATTTGAAAGATGATACTAATTTAGAACTTCCTTAAAAAAGGTGGGGCTTGAAAATGTCTTCAAGTGGGAAAATAACGACGATTAGTTGTCAAATCGACTTTAGTGCTATAGAGCCCAAAAGTAATAGCCTTGATTTTCAGACAATTATTGTACCGAAAGGACATACGTTTTATGCTGCGCAAAGATTCAATCAGTTTAATCTTGGCCATCAAAAGAAGTGGGTTATTGATGTAGACAAATGCTCATGTACCCTTTACAACTCTTTTCATGTATGTTATTACCAAAGAAAAAAAAGCCAGTCACTCAATAGTGTCTGACAGTGAAGTCTAGCAAGTAAACGGGTTCGCTTGCATAATTTGAATATGAGGACACTGCTAACATTTAAATTTCACAGATAGGACATACATGACATATTCATAATTCCTGCAAAGTTCTACAGCATTTGAGGTTTGCTGCAAAAGGGACATAGTACCTTTAAACGCATCAATGCATAATTATCTTTTATCTATCACAATTTACTTTTATAATCTCGGGGAAAGTTCGGCTTTTTACTAAATATATCTTCTCTATTTTGATTCAGTTTTAAATATGTCTTTGTTTGATTGTAATTTGTAATGGTATACTAGCTATTTCTACAAAAGCCTATCTTTAAGTGGATGTAGCTACTGCTCATGTTATTGCCTACATGGGGGTTTTAACATTTATAAATCGGGCCGAAAATTTCGCAACGACTCAGCCAGCCGCTGAATAAGCGGGGGGAGGGGGAGGGGGGCATATGGAAACGTTGTATCATCTGCTCAATCTGACTTGCGTGCATAGAACAAATAAGCATTTTTCCATGAAAAAGTGAAGTTTTCTAAAATGTGCGTTTCTTTCCAGCATTGGGGCGCCCGGAAGTCACTCGGGTAACATTTCATAAAGTATAATATAAAAAGACCACATGCAAATTTTCTGTACTTTCGTCGGAAAAAATACATTTATCCAGCACAATGTCGTCTATTTTTGAGTTGAAGAATAACAAATAGCGAGTTTCAATCACACTTTGGCCGCTCTCGCAAGCTCTCACTCGTTTCAATGTGGTCTTCTGGTTTTAAACTTGTTTTGATTGATTGTATAATTATGTCGGAATAAAGGAAACAAAAAGGCCCGGCCAATAACTTATCAGCGTCTGAATTGACCTTTTGACCTTGAATTCCCTGATGCAAGCGCACCAATGAGGTCATCTTCGCTAAATCGGTGTCTTTTATCGTCAAATGCAACACTTTCACAATGTTTATACATCTTTTTTAATTATAAGTAAGATGTAATATATTTTTTCTGATATCACTGAAGTTTGGGGTTTTATTTAATGAGTAATTTTGAAATAAGAGCCATTTTACTGTTTTAATTTACTGGATCGTACTATTAAAGTCGCAGGGTAGAAAGATGCATTTCCAACCGCGCCAAATTTAATTTACGTTCCGACATTCTGTTAAATGGGTTCGTGTTGTTAAGAATCCACTGCTTTCTGCTCCAACAAACGTTCACATGCGGAGTCGTTTATCAACTAAATTATTCAAATTTATGGATGCTTCCTAGCTTCCCAGGTGTTTGTGTTGCTGTTGAAGCATTTTATTCACCTGCTATCATTCTTTGTACTCCAATTGCCAGAACGCAAATTTCATTTTGGTTTTATAGTTTCATCGGAGTCATTTATCAACTATATGTATTCAAATTTATGAATGCTTCCTCCCCAGGTGTTTGTGATGTTTAATGCATTTCATTCACATGTTATTATTCTTTGTACTCCAATTGTTAGAATACAAAATGCATTTTGGTTTTATAGTTTAATACAATAAGTAAGTCAATAAAAGAGTATGTTCTGCACAATAAAAACAATGTGTGTCCCTATTGTACAATGTGATGTGTCCCCTCATTTTGTAATAGTTAATTTACCCATTTACATAATGGAACTACCTGCCCGATGAAGCCAGTGGCATGTGACCCCTGAGCACTCAACACCGTGTGGGAGTCAGTTTGTGGTCAAATTCTTTTATGAGACAAATACCAGCAAACGTTTCCATATGGGGGGGGGGGGGGGGGGGGGGGGTAAGAGGACACTTCTTTTTTTTTTTGGTCTCGAAATTTGAAATTTGACATTTTGCTCCGTTAGGGGGGGGGGGTTAGGTCACCTCTTTTAGGTCAGCCATGGGGATAATTGCTTTTTTTTTTAATAATTAAAAAAAAAATCGAAAGGGGGGGTTTAGGGGGGTTATGGGGGGTTTACACACATAAAAATACCAAAGGGGGGTTAACCCCCCCCCCCCCCCCCCCCCCCCCCTCCCTGTGTACGCGCTTGGGACTGACAGTTCAGTCGCAAGCTGCCTTCAGTCTACACACACATACATACAGTACACACAGTGCTATTGCGCTGTGTCAACCGTGCCGGGACTTTGGCTGAGTGAGGTAGGGTCGAAGAGTATGGGGGCCAAGCGGTTCCATGACACATGCTCCGCCGACGATTGCTCCGCCGACATTTACTCCGCAAAACGCGACAATTGCTCCGCGACATTTGCTCCGCGACATTTGCTCCGACGTCAAATGCTCCGCCGACAGGTGCTCCGCCGACAGTTGCTCCGCCGACAGTTGCTCCGCCGACAATTGCTCCGCCGACAGATGCTCCGCCGACAATTGCTCCTCCGACAATTGCTCCGCCGACAATTGCTCCGCCGTCAATTGCTCCGCAAAACGCTACAATTGCTCCGCCGACATTTGCTCCGCCGACATTTGCTCCGCCTGAAGCGACACTTGCTCCGCCGACATTTGCTCCGCCGACATTTGCTCCGCCGACATTTGCTCCGCCGACATTTGCTCCGCCGTCAATTGCTCCGCCGACAATTGCTCCGCCTGAAGCGACAATTGCTCCGGTGACATATGCTCCGCCGACAATTGCTCCGACAACATTTGCTCCGCCGACAATTGCTCCGCCGACAATTGCTCCGTCGACAATTGCTCCGCCGACAATTGCTCCGC